CACAGATAATTGCGGCGTCCTCTTGGGATTTAATGCCGAAATTTTCCCGAGGTTTTACAACCTATGTTCCGGCAATGAATAATTAATTACGCTTTTGAATACACATTTTATTAGACAGTATATATCCCATATTTATTTTGCCAAGTCCCGTTTTTCTTATATTTATTTGATTAAAATCCTTTTTGTTATAGAATCAGGGTGGCAAGCGAGCACACTGCCCACCTGATTGTAAGTAGATGCCCATAGAGATCTATGTCTATCCTTGATTAAAAATCAAAAGGCAAATGTTTTGTCACCCATGAGAACAAATATGGAACGCTTCGCTCCCAGTTAAAAGGGTCTCCGGTTCTCTACTATTTTACGCTGATATTTTGTGAAAGCCTGGTCCTTCCCCGGTCGAGCCTACTTATTCGTGTTACAACCATTAGTCAGATGCAGCATCTAAATCTCATCTAAAGATTAGTATTATAAAAATAATTAACATAACATTTTTCGAATTGATATTTTACGGTATTAACATAATCTTAAGAGCTTTAGCGTATACCGATAAACCTTGAACCCAATAAATGAATCCTTTCCATTATTACGAAGAATTACAAACATACACAAGAATTTGAGGTTGTCAACAGGTACGTATTGAACGGCGATATACACATATTAATATATCCATTGTTTGCGACAGTACAATGTTGACAAGGGTACGAAATTCACGTAATCAAAGGAAGGAAATATACACACAGCTACCTTTCCTGCCCATTAGTTAAATAGACTTGGCTGTGATACAAACGTAAGATATGGGCGTTAGATTTACGCTTTTTTTTAATCAAAAACGATGACTTTACCGTCGCTGAACTTTTTACCCCGTACTCGGCGATGACGGAAAACACTGTACGTGCACGTCTGAAATATAAGAAAAGAAATATTTCGACGACATGTTAATTTCGTCAACACACGTTGGGGCAGCGCGGCGGATTTCCTTGCCCTAAAAACTTTTCAGAAATGAGAGGAGGCCTGTGCCCAGCAGTGGGACGTATATAGGCTGTAACGTTAACTGTAGATGAACGCTGAATTTAAATTTTAATGGACGTTTTCATTATAAAATTATTTATAAATTTAAAAATACTAATAGTCCTGTCCGCATGAGAAAATTATTAATTACAATTATATTTGCATATCTATCATGGCAAGAAATTGAAGGAAAAAATCGTTAGGAAATTTGAATGTTAAAAATATAGATACATAATAAATAATTATTTCATTTTAAGGACTTGTGAAGTTCAACAAAAATTCTTAGTCACCAGATACTGTATGTTCTAAAATCCTATCTGAAATAGGTGGCAATGCCAGGCTGACTTGTGCAGTTAAGTTGTAACTTTACTATAGAGTATAAGACGAAGTTTGAACTCCGCTAAACCGTACTGGAGCTCCGTAAATTGCTCGAATGTGCACTGTTGCTTATTCTTTCTTGTGAAAAGGGGGATAGTAAACCGTTATTTAATGCCTTTCATTTTTAATTAACCATTTCGAGTGCAGACGGAACGAGTCTGTAATGTTTTTTAGTTCATCGTTCCTTGGTATTGCATTTATACGATTAAATAATTTATTACATCGGTATCGTTCAATGTTAAAAAAAACAAATGAAAACCAATGGACTACTTTTTGTTTTCACTTTTCAATAACTTTATTTAATCCTCAGTCTCAAAATTATGACAACTTTAACTCACATAAGATGATAAAGAAGCTATTAAGAACAAGGTATTTCATAAAATCACACAACATTTAGAGCCAAAAAAGGAATATTTTCAACTTCCTAAACCACATAAATTATATGAAAAATAACTAATTAAAGCACTAGGCAAGATTGCAATGTTTCGGAAGATTATTCTGAACAACAGATAACTAAAATTAAGGTATAAATTTCGACCTGAAAATGTAAAACTCACAAAGCTTTCGAAACAAAAGAATACTACTTTGAATTGCTTATAGAATTCTAAGAAACATTTAGATTATTTCGTAAACGCGATTAATGAGAACTATATCTATAATCCTTACTGATTAGCTAAAATCCATATTCGTGACTTTACGTACAACAATAAATAAACCTGAAATTTCCATACCATGTTCCTAAACTATTTTTAAACATTATAAACAGCTTTATAATTAACTGTAAAGCTATATTATCCAACAAACCAACAATCAATTTAGACTTCGATCTTAACTAGAAACTAAAGACACATCATTAGATATTATGTTTTCTTTTTTTATAGAATAAGGGTGACAAACGAGCACACAGTCTACCTGATGGTAAGTGAATGCTGTGGCCCATAGATATCAAAATTTATCCTAAATTTAGAATAAAAATGCAGATCACCCCTGAGGACTTAATAAACAATAGGGTCTCCGGATCTCTTCGCTCAGTATACAAAACACAGCAGTATTAAGCTGCTATTTTACGCTGGTATTGCTGGGACGTAAACTATGAAATTTATATTTGTTTTATCCGTTACCATTAATTATACGCACAAAATAATTTAACACACTAAAGCCGTTGAGATACTTAAGGCATAGACAATCCAGATATAAAAGTAATAAAAATATATATGTATTGAGAAAAGAGGCCAATGATCACCTATCGTGTTGTAACTTGTATCCTATCACCTTTGTCATTCATTATTTCTAAGTGTGAAGTAATATGCAACGCAACCTCATTGCTGTACTTAAGCTACATACCCTAGTATGTGGTACACCGGAACTTAGGAGCTCTCTTCCTAAAGAGAGCTCCTAAGTTCCGGTGTGCCACTTTACAGGGGTGGGCACACTCATCGGTAAGACATACTCGGCCCTATGTCTCCGTCTCTCCGTCCGTCTTCTTAAGGCTTGAGGTCGCCGACACTTAGGTAGTTCCTTCCCTGGGGCGCGAAATACGCCAAGAAGGCCAACAACGCCGTTTTTGTTACGGCTCCCATGAGCGGTTCATTGTATTGGACCGAAAGAAAAGCCCGGGTAATGGGGGACACCCCGTTGCCCGATATCTGCTGAGCCCAAGTCGCTCATGCAGATGACGCGTACCAGCCATGATAACTTAATTAAGAATATTAAATACAGGGTTAATTTAATTTTGATTGCGCGAACAATATGCAAGGTCTACAAAAACATTTGCCTTATCTTCGTCCATAATTAAAGCTACAATGTGACTAGAGACGCCATACAGACAAAAATATGATAATAAACCGAACAAAAGAAGCTATCTTTATCAAAAAAAAGATAAAACATTTCTTTTCTCCATTTCTATCACAATCGGAAAGAGAAAATACAAATAAGTGATATTCTCGACTAATTTCATGATTGCCAATTCCCAATTCTAAGCGAAGCGAGCAACTATTTTATCCACTAGGGAGTCCTGTATTCAACAATGGGCTTAATCCTATTCAACAATGAGAGGTCCTATAAGTAGTTACAATCTGCTGTAATAGTTACTAATCACAAACAAAACCTTAACTTAGTAGCTATTTCGTCTTTTTTTTCGAATATGTAAAATATAAGGCGCTCAATTGTTTTTTTAAAGCAATGGGTGACAATCGAACACACAGTCCATCTAATGGAAAGTGGATGCTGTGGCCCATTGACATCCACATTTATCCTCAATTAAAAATCAAAACGCAAATGCATTGTCACCCCTGAGTACTAAATTATAATGCCCCATTTCCAGTAAAAAAGGGTCTCCGGATCTCTACACTCACCATACGAAACACAACAGCACTACGCTGCTATTTTTCGCTGGTATTCTGTGAGAGCGTGGTCCTGCCCCAGTCGAGCCAACCCATTCGTGCTACAACTATAATATAACTGCATCGCGGCTCTATCACGTAAAAATGCTTAATACTTTACTTATTAAGACTTTATTAATGTACGAATTTTACAAAGAACATTTTAAGCAATATTCCATGCCAACATTTTTTGATTTCATCGAGTCTCAAATATTTTACCGTTACAGCTACAGCCTATTGAAGTTCACAGATGAACACAGGCCTCCCCCATGGATTGCCTCATGGGGAGGATATTTGCCATAGTTGCCACGCTTGGCAACCGGGTTGGCCACCGCAGTTTTTTATTTTTCTTCGTTCTAGGAAAACGCCGCTGGCAATCTTCTGATTTGTTACCCTTCAACTTCTTCTTTGTTCTATTTGTTACGATACCCACGGGATTATATATAAGTGTACAATTATACAGCAGAATATTTCATTCCGCTACAGTTTTCACTTTGGCCCATACCTGACTTTTCGCCTTTTCCCTTGTTATTTTATACGAAAACAAATTAAATAGAGTTTTGTTAAAATGAAACGTCGTTTGTCATTTATTTTCTAGATAAATAAAAATAGAAACAACTCACTTTTTATTACTTCAGCCTTAAAACTTGAAGACAAAAATATTTCATTTACTTTGGGCTTAATTAAAGCTTTAATTAACGTCAAAATCTACTACCAGTTTGAAAACCGATTTCTTCAAAGAAGAAACGACAAGAAACGTGTAAAGAAATTAAATAACTTAATCATTATTTAGTGTTTAGGTATAATAAAATAGGTTATAGGAATCACAGCTTTTCACCGCATATGTATGGTGAACCATTTAAATTTATTTGCGTAACAGATGTCCTGTTACCTAGCGGACAGCTGATGTGCGGCAGTGCTGCAGGAGCGCTGCCGCACATCAGACATGCACCGCACGATTGCCTCGTCTAGACACGCTTGTTAGTAGTAGTTAGACTATGCCTATGTTTAGCAGTGGACTTGTGAAGGGCTATAATGATAGTGATGTACCAGTGTAGTGGCGACGTAAGAGAATTCACTAACCTACTAACCAAGAGACATGCAGCATCATCTTCCTAATCATAATAATAAAAATAAAGGCAAATATCCTCTCATAGGTGGGCCTCTCATGGGGGAGGTCTATGTTCAGCAGTAGATGAAATGAATGATGAAACTATTGCCTATGTCTCTCACCTTGCTCGCAGACGTAGCCCGCGACGGTTATCCCCAGGCCCAACGCCGAATCCTTGTTCAGCTCCACTTCATAACTTAGTGTCTCCGGCTCCCTGCTGCCTCTCACCGCCATGTCTAGTGGGAGCCTGTTAACAGTTTAGAAGCTATTAATATTTAAGTCTCTGTATAACATTAAACATAAGTCCAAGACTTTTAGTAAAATTTATATTCGATTTTGATTTTTTCGACGAAATAAGCTTCAAACATAGTTCGTAAATGTACATGCTCTAACGTTATATTTAATTGCTACGTGGCGCAGTGTCTTAGCAATAAGTTAGCAGCTCTGAGACCCGCGGGTTCGAATCCCGCACGAAACAAATTTGTGCTTACAAGTAATGCAACGGATCTGGATGTTTATCCTTGTGAAACAGAATATCCATGTGTGGAGGCAACATTTTTTTAGAAAAAATTTTCCTCCTGACTGAATTTCAGTCACGGCGGCCAGCCTCAACGGGGACTAGGTATCGGCGCGGGACAGGATTATAGTGCCCAAGTGTATACGGAATACAGGTACACTCTCTATTCCCTCACGCTCATAGTCCGATGGGACGGTGACCCGACACAACCGCAGATAGATCAGGTGCAGGACCACCGGTTTTACGTACTTTTCGAGCTTTTCGCGTTTACTTATATCGAGATCTCTAAAAGTATATACCCGATTGACTTGAAATTTAGTATAGTTACTCACTTCGCAATGTAGTCCCATCAAAAAATAGTTCTTGATATTTTCCGTACGCCTAGCTCGCGCAATAAAACATTACCATGCGCCCAGCGATGTGAACGAGTATCAGCTAGTAAGTTATAAAGCGCGAAACTTTGCCCAAACGACAAACTCTAAGTAGTTACAGTGACAGAGCTTAGTTAAACGAGAATAGTTTCTGTATAATTGGCTTCAAGCAAATGAAACTTTTACAAAGTGATATGTTTTGATCGAAGTTTTAGTTGACTGCTAACGAAGGGAAACACAGTTGATATCTCGTTTATCTTTATAGACCGGCTTCCATACCCGATTTAGTAACTTTCAAACGATCTATCCGTCCATCTATTACAACCTATAAAATTCTACTGCTGATAGCCCCCTCCCCCTCTATAGATAAGCCTATGTTTAGCAGTGAGCGGACTTCGCCATAGTTGCTTTTTTATATAATAAGCATTTATCTTCAATCGAGTTTCAAAATGTAGACGCGTTGTCACACGTTAGTACCAAGATGGAACGCCTCGTTTCCAGTAAAAAGGGTCTCCGGTTCTCTATACTCACTATATAAAACATAGCAGCAATAAGCTGCTATTTTACGCTGGTACTCTGTGAGAGTATGGTTCTAGCCTGGCCGAGCCGACCCATTTGTGCTACAACCATAATAAAGCAGCAGCGTGTCTCCACCACGTTTAATCGCAATCACTTGACAATTTCAGTCTTTTATTATTTTGTATTGTTATAAAGAATATACTAGTGCCCATCTACTGTTACAGTTTTTCTCTATAGTCTCTTCCGAAACACATGAGATGATATGTGGTTGTTAATTCTCATACATCGCTCATTTTTTTAATAGGATAGGGTGACAAACGAGCACACAGTCCACCTGATGGTAAATGGTTGCTGCGGGCCATAGACTCTATCCTCGATTACAAATCAAAATGCAGATGCGTTGTCACCCGTGAGGACTGAGATGGAATGCCTCCTTTCCAGTAAAAAGGGTCTCCGGTTCTGTACACTCACCATGCGAAATACAGCAGCATTAAGCTACTATTTTACGATGGTATTCTGTGAGAGCGTGGTCTTTGGTGGTCATTCGTGCTACAACTATACTACTAATATAACTGCAGCATGGCTCTACCGTACCGTACCGTATAAAAAATCACACATGGCTACTTTCGATCGAGAAGAATTAATTCTATATACAACATTTTGCCTTCCTTTAAAATGCTCCAATGTATGTTGTCTAATGTTCTAACACAAGCAATCTGAATACTATCCCCACCGGCAATAATGATAATGTACGACAATTTTAAGAGTCCTATTACACCTAAAGGCAACGGTGCAACGGTTGCTCATCTGCTTGCGCAATATACGAGTATGATAATTAGCGGAAAAACTATCCTATTTCCTACTAATATTATTACAGGGTTATTTTTCAAAGAGTAGCCAAATTTATAAATAATGTTGTACCGCTATTGTAGTTTTTGAAACTACGAGTAAATAAGTCTTCAACTTTTATTTGAAATTATCCCAAATAGAATGAGATTGATGGGCAAACAACATTTTTGCCTACCGATCGACCCTTGGCCGGTTATTGCAAAATAACCTTGTATATCAGTTTAAGTGTTTTATTATAGTTTGTATAAAATATATCTTTTTATACATATATATATATATATATATATATATATATATATATATATATATATATATATATAATGTAAAAATTTATACAGTTAGTGTAAAAATCTATCCCAAATTGCAGTTTTTTAATCCGTGGAGCCTAAAAATTTAGCTGTTCGTCTGTTAGTCATTGAGTAACTTCTAAAGGACTTAGCCGATTGAAGTCATATTTACACAAGGTAGCTTGGATCGGATCAACAGATGGCACTCTTGACACCAAATTATAAACAATTACTATACTAACTGCACTACTAATACTATATTTATGGTCCAAAATTAATCATCTTCACAACATGTGTTGGTTGAGTGCCGAAAAAGAATATCGCAATATTTTGACCCGATAAACGGCTATTGTCAAATTATGTATACATTTTATATTTACACTGAAATTATAGAGTGAATAGGAATTGAATTATCGTTCTACGGAGAGTATAGAATATATAATAATATATTTACGAGGTTCGGTGTCGCCGCGAGCACACATACATGCAATTACGTCGTATTGTCACTACTACAAACCTGATTCGCTGTATTGAGAGACTGAGTAAATTATTATTACATTTTAGACTTATGATTAATGTTCAAGATCACCATTTAAAAAAAATCGTTTAAATTTTAACACATATTTGTTTGTAAATAGTGTGCAATTTTGCATTTTTAAATGGGAGGAGGGAGTCAAAACACATCTCGTGTTGACATTTACACGTGTGAATTGACATGTTAGTGACATTTTAGGGACTACACGAGCTCCGCCCACTCCCCCGTTCTATTATGTATGTATTATAGTATTCTATGCTCAGAACGATAACACAATGATGACGTGACGGTGTAAGAATATCCACTACCGCAAATCAACCCGTGGATGTACAGAGATTGTAGAGGGAAACAAATCAGGAGGTGGACAGCAACGTCTTCCTAATAACAACTTTAAATTAATAAATGCGGATCGCAACCCGCTCACCGTGGCAACTATGGCAAATATCTCCCGTATGAGGCAAAATATGGGGAGACCCAAGTTCAGCAGTGCACTTGAATAGGCTGTGACGGTAACGATGCAGAAAGGCTCTTTTCATTGAAAATTGAGTACCTACATTTCTAAGAGAAATAGCCATCATTTCTATGAACAGGTGAATGTAAACAAATTATCCTTACCTTAGCGGTGGTGGTTGGGGCTCAGGAGGTGCAATTATCAGCGGCGGCGGTCTTGGTGAGGGAGCGAGCGCACCACGGGGTACCACAGCCACTATCGATGCTACGGGCTGCAGAAAAGGTTCATTTATAATAATAAAGTGAGATAATATTACCGTGGTAGAGCGATGCCGCAACTATATTATGATTGCAGCCCGCATTTTTTCATAGAATAAGGCTGAAAAGCGAGCACACAACCTACCTGATGGTAAGTGGATGCTGTGGTTTTAAGAGATCTACATTTATCCTTGATTAAAATAAATATGCAGATGAGTTGTCACCACTGAGGGCTAAGATGGAATGCCTCATTTCAATTAAAAAGGGTCTCCAGCTCTCTACACTTACCATACGAAAAGATAGCAGCATTAAGCTGCAATTTCATGCTGGTATTCTTTGAGAGCGTGGTTCTATCCTGGTCGAGCCAACCCATTCCTGTTGCAGTTATGTATAGCTAGCATAGCTGCAGGTATGCCAAGTTTGAAATAAGTTATTTCACCACAAAATAACTGATCTTGACCAAAGTTAGATGGTCAGTGTTTCCTGATGGTAAGCAGGCACATCAGCTCGTGGATACTAACTGCGTCATTATATTAAAAGAGTATGTAATATATGTGTCACTGTCTGTTAGAACTTAAATATTATTCTACAATATTAGTATTTATTTTTTATAAAAAAAGTTTGACAAACGAGCACACAGTCCACCTGTTGGTAAGTGAATGCTGTGGCCTATAGACATTTACATTTATCCTCAATTAAGAATCAAAACGCAGATGCGTTGTCACCCCTGAGGACTAAGACGGAATGCCTCGTTTCCAGTAAAAAAGTGTATCCGAATCTTTACACCCATCATACGAAACACAGCAATATTAAGCTGTTATTTTACGCTGCTATTCAATTTTTAATAATTATATATTATTTTTTTAATTATAATATGTTTCCAAATCATCCGACAGCTGAAGATGTTCTATTATCATTATGGCCCAAACATTTTTTTTTAATATTCGTAGTAGGCAAACTCTTAAACCGTAACTTCGTTCTCAATGATAGCCCCCCGGGTGGAATAAATTAAATATGTGATAACAACTACCTATATTACTATGTAACAGTTGTATAATAATTCCGGCAACGCACTTGCAATTCCCCTGGTGTTGCGGTTGCTCATGGGCGGCGGTAGTCACTAGTAGTAGGTGAGCCGCATGCTAGTTTGTCCTCTTTCCTATAAAAAAAATCCAATACCCCACATCGTCTCGTGGGATCGTGGGTGTCGTAAAAGCCTACAGAGGGAAACTGTATCATGAAATGTTCAGTTCAGCAGGACCTTTCTAATTTTTTTGATTAATTACGGCCATTCACAATTCCATATCACCTTTCTGATAACAAACTTAAAGTGATAAAAAACTACGGTCGCCAACACGACTGACGAGCGTGGCAACTATATCAAAATTTCTTGATAAGATGATTATGAGACAACCTTTGGGAGATACGTGTTTATGCACAAAAATATTAGGTCTGAATGAGATTAGATGAGTAATGAGTAAATCCATGTAGTAAAGCCACGTTGCAGCTATATTATGGTTGTAGCATGAATGAGTCGGCTCGACTGGGGAAAGACCACGCTCTTACAGAATACCGGCGTAAAATAGCAGCTTAATACTGCTGTGTTTCAAATGGTGAGTGAAGAGAGCCGGAGACCCTTTCCTACTGGAAACGAGGCATTCCATCTTAGCTCTCAGGGGTGCAAAGCGTCTGCGTTTTAATTCTTATTCGATGATAAATGTAGATAGATATCCATGGGCCACAGCATCCACTTACCATCAGGTGGACTGTGTACTCGTTTGTCAACCTTATTCTATAAAAAAACCTGTGATGGGGGCAATTGAGGCAAATCATTTCTACAATACTATAATGATGTTATACATGAAGAATAAAAACATGATGATGATACACTCACCCTATGATGCAATCGTTCTTCGATGATAGTCGGTGGTGGGGAAGGCGGCGTTGTATCTTCACATAGTGCTCCAAAACCATCATGGCCGGCCTCAGCCAGACTTCTTTCTAGCTCTATCGGGTCTGTTAAAAGTCTAGATGGCACCACCGGAGCTTGCGATGCACCCAGACTCTGAGAAAAGGGGAACTCTGTTAAAACGGATTACTTACATTAAGAAGCCTCGACGAGGCATGCCATCTTAGACCTCCGGGTGACAACGCATCTGCATTTTGATTCATGATCGGAAATATCTGGTAAATTATGAGCTTATGAGGCAATCTATAGGGAAGCCTATTTTCAGCTGTGGAATTTAGATAGTTAAAACCTACTTTTCGTACCGCAGGGGCATATTTTCACATGGTAGAGCCACATGCAGCTATATTACTATTATAGTCGTAACACGAATGGGTCGGCTCGACCGGGCAAGAACCACGCTCTCACAGAATACCAGCGTAAAAAAACAGCTTAAGGGTATTTCTTTATTTAAGATTATTAGTATTGCTGTATTTCGTATGGTGAGTGTAGAGAACCGGAGACCCTTTTTACAGCAAACGAGGCATTCCATCTTAGTCCACACAGGTGACAAAGCATCTGCATTTGTTTTCATAATCGAGGTTAAATGTAAATGTCTATGGGCCACAGCTACCACTTACCATCAGGTGGACTGTGTACTCGTTGTCACCCTTATCCTAAATAAGATACCCGAATTAGATTCAACGAGAAAAAAACTGACATTCACAATCGCTTTGATGTGAGTATAAAAAAATACAACTGTTTCCTTTTCATTCCACCTAAAACACTATTTTAAAGACAAGGTCAAGCCCCTTTGTATCTATATTGTTGGCGCAGTAAAATATTTAACTGCCGCACAGAGTAAAGAGTAAGGACCAGAGGGGAATCTTCCTAACAACGTAGAAAACGTATACCTATTCCGATAGGGTTGTCACATGATGCATGTGAAAAATTTAAAGAAAAAAATAAAAATATTATATAGCCTATGAAACAACATGTGTATTAGTTATAATTATACTAGCTTGCCAAGCAGACGTTATTCTGCCCTTTTCGACTACCCTTTGTCACGTCCTATTAAAATCCTTAAATTCGCAAAAAATGTGGGTCACTCATGGGCAAAAAAAACTATCCTATCTCTCAAGTTGAACCAAACTGCACACGGTGTGCAATTTTGATTAAAATCGGTTAAATAGTTTAGGAGTCCATCGCGGACAAACAACGTGACACGTAATTTATATAATATATTAAGATGGTACGTGAGCCCAACTTCATCACTCGGTGACATACTTGTCTAACACATTCTCTCTTAACTATCAATGTTATTATATAGTTTCATTGTACACGTAAAAAGGTACATAATATTTTGGATACAAAAAAAGGAAATATCCTTATTTTCTCTAGAATTATTCATGCATACTGTACAACTATTAGGCATTTTTGCTTATACAGAACACTTATTACTTACCTATGTAAATTTATAATAACTTAAGTCTAATTATTTTTATTAAAATAAATCTATTTATTTACTAATTGCAAAAAACTTCATAAATTAATTAATATACAAAATTTCGAAATACTGTTGGTCTATTAATTTAAATGCGTACGACTAGCAGCCCTTTCATGGATACTCTGACTGAGCCGGCGCAAACCGGTTTGTACCCCAACGGAGTGTCGGTTAACCTGTTGGTAAGAGCTCACTCACACATCGCTGCGCTATGTGTGAGTGTATTCGGAACGAGCTGTTTTTAGTTTGTATGTAGCTTCCCCTCTGGTCGGTTTCTTTACTCATGTGACAGCGGTTCTTGCTCCAGTCGAAGGTCAGCTCCGCTTAAGTTTGAGATTTGTTCAAACTGTCAACAGTTTTTATTTACTATTGTAAGTCAGTGTTTGACTACTATTTCACTTGATGGTAGAATAGAATATATATAAAAATGCCCTGTCCAGAGATGAACCAGCAGAAATTTCAGTGTTTTTTTTTTCAAAGTATAACTTTAATACAATAAACAACACAGGTTTCTCAAGCTACTTACAACATTTATTTATGAAACAGCTCGGAATAGATCATGCCCAGGAGTTTTTTCAACCATATATTCACTTATATTATTATAATCATGTTTATACAGTTTTTGTTTAATAAAATATTAAAACTTGGTAACATTGCGACTTGGTATATTTTCTGGGACTTTGTTGTAATATCGTACACGTATTGCCTTATGAATTAATAACTGACTCTGTAGAGTCGAGAATATGTGGTATCACTAACTTGTGTTTGTTGCTAGTGTTTATAGATTATACATCAATATCATCATCATTACAGCCGTTAACAAGTCCAATGCTGAACATTGGCATCTCCCAAGGAATACCACAAAGCACGGTCCTGAGCCACCTGCATCCATTGACTTCCTGCATGTCTTACCAGGTCGTTACTCCATCTAGTGGGCCCTACAGTGTGTGTACATCACTCGTACTTTTTTTAAACTATCTCTGTTGAAAACACTTAATTTTCGTAAATATACTGAGAGGACAAAGTTAAGATATATATATTTTTTAATTTTCTCTGAGAGGCTACCTGTTTTAGACAGTAAATAGATCTTATTTTGCGAAACAAAATCATTTCTAAATCAGGCGCATTTCCCCATAGCAAAATCACATAAAACATCATGCTATGGAAATATTTGAAATAAACTAATCTCGTCGTCGCGACACTAGTGACACATGTAATCTTTTTTACAGTATTAAGGACGCGTTTGCAAATCAACCAAAATTAGGGTGTTTTTCGGTAGATTTTGTGACAAAACTAAACCAAATCAAATATAAGTAAAAACTACCATGTATAGATTGGTTCTTCATCTGCAAATGTCTGTAACTCTTTTGTTGAAAATAGTAGTTTTTTATATTGTAAAAACGAACTTTCGTTGCCATTTTCTACAAAATTATCGATACCGGCTTGTGTTTCGGTAGATGTTTTGGTCTATTATCAACATATTTAAAAATTTAAAAAATACTATAAGATGACAGACATATTCAATTAAAAAACCCTGTGTTTATTTTTTAACAAAATGTCACAAATAGTCGTAAAAAAAATAAAAACTGATGCACATTTTTTCACATATTTTGGTAATATGGATGAATCATAATGTATTGCAATAAGGGCTATTTTATTGTTGGTGCCTGCTTTGATTTATTGTACAAAGATTTCGATGAAACCACAGTCCGCGCTCGGCTGCCGTCGTGAGTGGACACTGTATCGCCTGTTTGCAGCGGCTCATTCTGAAAAGATCGCTGTACATACACAAAATATTAGAAAAAAACAAATTGGAAACATAAGTACTTGACAAGTGATAAAATTATTATTTTTATACTCACAGTTTTTATTTAGCTAAAAATAAGTAGGATATATAAACTTACCTACTACTGCAACTCGTGGACGAGCGGAACTAGGTGTGCCGAGTTTGGGCTCGTTTTGTTGGTTATGATGAGACCTTACCTCTGGACTTGATGGCATGACCTGAAGGTGTACTTTCGTGACCGCTATTTGAACTTCTTGCAGAGTAAAACTAGGGGTGACGAATTTGGGCTCCGTTTTGTTAGTTATGACGAGTCTATACCTCTGGACTTGATGGAGTGACCTGAAGGTCTAAATCGGTGATTGCAACTGGAACTCCTAGACTGGTAGAACTAGGTGTGCCGAGTTTGGGTTCGTTTTGTTAGTTACGATGAGACCTTACCACCGGACTTGATAGAGTGACCTGAAGGGGTAATTCAGTAACTACTGCTGGAATTTCTGAACGAGTAGAACTAGGTGTGCCGAATTTGGGCTTCGTTTTGTTAGTTATGACGAGTCCATACCTCCGGACTTGATGGAGTGACCTGAAGGTGTAGTTCAGTGATTACAAGTGGAACTCCTAGACTTGTAGAACTAGGTGTGCCGAGTTTGGGTTCGTTTTGTTAGTTACGATGAGACCTTACCACCGGACTTGATTGAGTGACCTGAAGGTGTAATCAGGTGGTTACAAATGGAATTCCTAGACTAGTAGAACTAGGTGTGACGAGTTTGGTTTCGTTTTGTTAGTTACGATAAGACCTTACCACCGGACTTGATGGAGTGAAATTCGGCACACCTAGTTCTACTGGTTCAGAAATTCCAGCAGTAGTTACTGAATTACCCCTTCAGGTCACTCCATCAAGTCTGGTGGTAAGGTCTCATCATAACTAACAAAACGAACCCAAACTCGGCACACCTAGTCCTACAAGTCTAGAAGTTCCACTTGTAATCACCGAACTATACCTCCAGGTCACTCCATCATGTCCGGTGGTAAGGTCTCATCATAACCTACAAAACGAACCCAAACTCGGCACACCTAGTTCCACCAGTCTAGGAGTTCCAGTTGCAATCACCGATTTACACCTTCAGGTCACTCCATCAAGTCCGGAGGTATGGACTCGTCATAACTAACAAAACGGAGCCCAAATTCGGCACATCTAGTTCTACTCGTTCAGAAATTCCAGCAGTAGTTACTGAATTACCCCTTCAGGTCGCTCCATCAAGTCTGGTGGTAAGGTCTCATCATAACTAACAAAACGAACCCAAACTCGGCACACCTAGTTCTACTAGTCTAGGAGTTCCACTTGTAATCACCGAATTACACCTTCAGGTCACTCCATCAAGTCCGGTGGTAAGGTCTCATCATAACCAACAAAACGAACCCAAACTCGGCACACCTAGTTCCACTAGTCTAGGAGTTCCTATTGTTGTAATCACCAAATTACACCTTCAGGTCACTCCATCAAGTCCGCAGGTAGGTAAGGTCTTATTATAACTGACAAAACCAGTTCAAAGTCCAGAGCTAACATCTCACTACCAGTAGAGGGCTTCCAGTGCCAAGCAGTCTTTGGAGCAGGTATTCATATTTCGTATCGAAGTATATTTCTGAGGTAGGTATAAGAAATGAAAAATAAATTCAATCTTTCAAATTATCAAAATAATTTCATTTGACTACGATTCCCACAGCCAACCGTGCGTACACTAGTGTGTGTGTGACTTTTGTCAATGTAGTAGTGCGATTCTATACCTATCCATTTTGTAAACGCGTCCTTAAAGCTGCAGACATTAGGTAAGC